ATTCCGGCCCGAGGGCCACAGGCCCTCGGGACATGAAAAGCCTATCTACACATTAATTCTATAGGTTGCATCACCTTTGACCGATAAATATTGCGACTAAACTTCAGAGACACTGATCCCAACATAAGGAACTACCATCAGCTGATGTGTTTGAAATCACAGAAGCCATGGAAGCTTCATATAAGTGTGATGTCTTACTAGACTTAATAGTTTACTCTGTCCTACAAGTTTCACCCAAGGATCCAGAGAAATAACAGGCAAGAGAGGAAGAGTAGGACTGCCAAGGGGAGGAAGGGGGAAGGAAGGAGTGCTGGGACTCAGTGATCTGAAGATGAAGGAGGGTGGGCCAAGAAGCTTCTCTGTGAAAAGCAGGAACAATGGTGGAGGGACATTCTTTGGGGCAGAAGAAGAAATGTACAAGGGGACAGACTCGGGGCTGGCTAAGATGAAGTGAACCTAAAGGGGTCAAGCCCCAAATTTAGTTACTTGCATAGAGAACAGGGACTGTGGAGTCTGTCCGGGAAGGAGGACTCAGCATTATGGTTGACTTTTCCCAGCCCTGCAGTGTTTCTGCACTCTGTGCAAGGGTCTGCAGAGCGATCCTCTATTCTCCAGCGCAGGCTGCCTGTCAGCAAGCTGTTCCCACAAGTCAAGATAAAATGATCCCCTTCAGCCAACCTCACTGCCCACCCATCATCTTCCTTCCTGAGCGAGACTGCCACGCTGAGGCAGATTCAGGTACCGCCTGTGTGTCAAGCTGGGTCCCCCCAGACTGGGTGTCCTGAGCTCAAGGCCTCCTCACCGAGTCAAGAGGGGCACTGTGAAAAAAAAAATCATTGTGCTAGGAGAAGGGACCTTGTTCTCTCGGGAGCCTTGCAAGCGCAACTCAGAATGCCTCTGTCCCTAAACTGACAGGGACAGACCTGGGAGATTCTGGCAGGGTCAGGCTCTGGTGGTAACCCACTAGGAGGCTGGAATAGAGGCCGAACAGATGTAGGGAGCCAAAAAGGGAAGGCAGGGAGGTGGAGGTGAAGGAGGGGAAATGAGGGAGGGGGAAGGGAAGGAAAAGGGGGAAAGGAGATAAGTGAGCTAAGGAGGGATTAGAGAGACATGGAAGGGAAGAGGAGAAAGAAATGGAGCAGGAGGGAGAGAAAGGGGAGAGGGAAGAAGAAATGAAAAGGGATAAAGGGTGAGGGGAGGGTGGGTGAAAGATTGACAGGAGAAGAGGAGACAGAAAGAAAATAAAAGTGTCTCACTAGAAAAGGATGCAAAAAGGGGAAGGCAGGGAAGAGGAAGGGTTAGAAGGGAGGAGGAAGGAAGGCTGGGATGGGGCTGGGGTGGATGGGAAAGCTGTGGTTCTGTTTCTTATCCCCTGTGAGTCCAGTCTTCCTCCCCCCACACACAAAGGGGGGGAAGTAAACGGGAGAATAGGGAAGGGGGCATTGACAAAAAGCTAAGAGGTAAGAGAAATGGCCCAACGTAGCTTAGTGGTAAGGAGTTGTGCTGCCAACCCAAAGAAACACAGTTCAAATCCACCAGCCACTCCCTGGGAGAAAGATGAGCAATCTCCTCCAGTACAATTTCTTGCTGCTCAAAACCCACTGGAAGGTCAGCTACCAGTCATTTCCAACTCGATGGCACGTAGCAACAACAACATCCCTGAAATGGCTAAAGATAGAAGTCCTGACCGGGCTGAATAAATGAGCCTCTGAGTCCTAACGTACCTAAGCTGTAACTTGGAGAAGGTTGCATCCTTCTGACTTGTGGTCTCAACTGTAGGTCATGAGGTCTAGAAATGAAGCTGCTGTATTGCAAAGAACATTAGGGATGTGAAGTCAGTGAGTCCTACATTCAAACCTTTACCCTGGCCAGGCAGATCACTGGTCCCATGACCTTGGCACAGGTGGCCACCTGCCCTGTATGTTTATCATTCAAATGCCTGCTTTGCAGGGATGTTAAAGTCCAATTAAGTTAAAGACAGCATCCAGCACAGCAAACCAATATTTAATTTAGCACCTGTAGAGGTGTTGTAGCTATGCATCTGAGACCTGGACTATGAATAAGGATGACAGAAAAAGAATTGGCGCCTTTGAGCTGTGGTGTTGGAGAAGAGCACTGAACATCTCATGGACAGCCAAGAGAACAAACAGATATGTTCTGGAGAGGGTGCAGCCAGAGCGCTCTTTGGAGGCAAGAATGATGAAGCTTCACCTCACATACTTTGCACATATTGCTAGGAGGTGCTGTTCCTTGGAGAGGGACATGATGCTGGGAAGGGTGGAGGGTCAGCGAAGGAGAGGAAGACCCTCTACCAGGTGGATTGACACAATGACTGCTGCAGTGGGCTCTAGTGTGTCCGGAAGTGTGAGTATGGCGCAGGATAGAACAGGGTTCAGATTTTTTTTCCATAGGGTTACTATGAGTCATACTGACTCAATGGCACCTAACAACAACAGAGGTGTTGTTGGTATACATTTCCTCTCACCTCAACCCAGCTGCTGTGTATTGACTGCTTCTTGGATGGGCTCTCCTTTGTCACAAAATGGCACTCTGGGGCCACTGGAAGCCAAAGCTTGTCTAAGGGGATGGGGTCTGAAAACTCACCTCCTTCCTCAGATCATCAGCTCTGGTACCTTCACACTACAGAGCCATAGGTCAGGCTGAGGCAAGACTTCCTCTGAACCCACATCTCCCAGCATCTTCCTCTGCTCCATCCTGCTTTCCTTATTCCCTTACTTGTTTCTCCTGAGAATCCTCCCTCAACTAATCAATGGCTCCTAAATTCCTATCTTGGGCTCTGTGTCAAGCGAACCCTGCCTAAGACAGCACCTTCCTGAGGTTTAGTTGTCAGTGAGCTAGGGCCATAAACGAGCCTCAGACTGGGGCCTTGCTCCTCAAGAAGTTGGCTCACAGAACACTTTCCCTGTCCAAAGTGACCGATCAGACCATTTGTGAGCCTCTGGGCAGGTGCCACGTTGCGCTGCACTGGCCTTACCTTCTCTGAGAGGATTGCAAAAGACAACTGTGTGGGATTCAAATGACTTAAAAAATAAGCTAAGGTATGGTAATGGCTATGGTTTCCAGTAACATCCGGGCTGCTGCTGTCTCTCAAGCATTCCTAAGTAGCCACTGAGAACCCCTTGCATAGAGATGCAGTAATTCAGGGATGCAGGGAGGAGGCTGCTGATCTCAGGGGCATGTAGGGATGAGGGAGTTTGGGAGTAATTTAAGGGATGAAAAGGAGTCAGGGCACACTTGAATGGGGGAGGTGCCCACAAAACTTCCATTTTGTGTGCAATTAGTCTAGGGATGCCCTCATTTGCATAAGGTTCATAAATTTGCATAAAATTGCTGGAGGCCCTAACCACCAGTACAGAAAATAAAATAACATGAATCAATTAGCGAGGCTGCCTGTGATTGGAGCAAGCCTGATGTTAGGGAATCTCCTTCAACCTGACTGAAACAGCAATGTGTTGGCAGGAAGGCAGCTGGAGCAAAACCCCCCTCCAGACAAGCTCAGCTGCCAGGGAGAGGGCCAAGACGGCAAGCCCTGAGCCCACCCTGCCTGCCCACCAAGGGGTGTTTTCAGTTCCACCATGTGGAGGGCTAGCAAATGGGTGCAGAAGGATGAAATTGGGATCTGAGCCGGCAGATGAGGACAGCAGGCTCCCGCTGGTAAGGAAGGCACGCCAGGCCCCCAAGGATGATGGGACATAAGAGGAAAAGGTACCGGTGTGTGGTAAAGGAACAATGCTCCTAGTCATAGCTTCTGTTCACATTTACCAGGGGCCTTATGCTCACCCTACATTGTTTCATTTGATCCTCACTGCAGTCTTAAGCAGCTGGTACACTTACCTTATATAGAGATGCGGAAACCTCAGATTTGGATAGGATATTTTACTAACAAATGGCAAACCCAGGCCCACTCTGCTCTGGAGATACACAACCTCCCAGTGAGCACTGGAGATGCCTCACAACTGGCAGGAGCCAGGTAACTCTTTGTCAAATGAGTGGCCAATGTATGTGGGGATGAGGCTTGAGGGGAGATGAGGACGTCATTGTTATTAAGGAGAAACAGGTTAAAAGCAGGCCAAACCAAATGCCATCGAGGTGACTTTTACTCATCATGGAAATGTATGTGCATTGAAGTGAAACTCTGCCCCACAAGGTTTTCACCAGCTGAGCTTTATGCAAGTGGCTTTACGGAAGTAGGCCTTTTTCCTGAAAGAGTGGACTCAAACCTATAGCCTTTCAGTTAATAGCCAAACACGTTTTGGGACTCAAAAAGTGGACTATAGGATACTACTTCCTTTTCCTTAAAATAAGAAACAGAGAAACCAACTCAATCTCTTATTTTGGGAGTCTGGGAATATGTAGTGACACCATATTTCTTCCTCATTATAATCCCTGTGAGTTGAGGCTTGGGTTCCACTTTGGCATCTCACCTCATGCCTACCTTTCTATTCACCCACCTCTTGAGCCCCAACCCTCGCTGCCCCAACCGCGCCCCCATGCTGTGTTTTCAATTCTGATCTGGAACCTGTAAGCCATGTCAACTGTGGCCATCACTAACGACAAGAGAAGCTGAGGCTGCGGAGCCCAAGCTTCCTTGGCCACGGCTGAACTGACATGAGCTCTTATCTCTCATCCCCATCCAGCAGCAAACGCTCTCTGACGAATCACCAATTTCTTTCTCCATCTCTCCAGTTCTCTTTTGCACTGACCCTGCTGGTTTATAAGCACTCTCAGGGATTTTTTTTTCCTCTGCTCTTTCCCTGAACCTCCTCCTCCCCACGAGCCACTCTTAATGAATCAAATTGCCCTTAGACTTGAATTGTGGGGAAAGCAACCTCCCTCACTAGTCGCGGTAGATGGGGTGGCTGCCCCCAGATCCACGCTGGTCTCGCTACAACAACTCAGAGTGGATGTTTATTTTTGAATCTCGCATCCTTTATCTGAGAAAATGGACTACCGATGGGAAACAATTACCTACCACTTACCCCACAGGGCTGATGGGAGCAGATGGCACGTGCGATGGAGAAGCGGCACAGTGCATTAATGTCATCAGCAACGATCACAGCCATAATGAGTCCACATCTCGGGGACTGGAAACTGAAGAGAGGAAAGAGCAACAGCTGGGCACTCTTCAGCCAGATCTGGTCACAACCACCCAAATGGCTTGTTCCAGTTTCACTAATGGGAAGAGAGCAATGGGAAGCTACAAGAGGACCTGCAGAAAACAGCCCCTGCTTTCAATCCTGCCTATTATCAGGGAGCCACTCTGCAGGGACACGTGGCAGTGCATTGTTTACCTGGCCTCACCGAGCCGCTTCCTTTCTCTCCAACTGGGTAAAGTGTGTGTGTGTGTGTGTGTGTGTGTGTGTGTGTGTACATACACACATGCTTGTGCACATGCATGCCCACCTAGGGGTCTGTCTGTGACCACACAGTTTCTCTGTCAATTCTGTCCAAAAGGAAATGCAGAGGACAGCTATTGTAATGGAAAGTCTGCAAAGTCAGATCATACATAATGGATGGCAAAAAGAACTGCAGTCACCAGCAACACATATGATTTGGCAAAATCTGACGCTGTAACATCAGGGACTGGAAAGGTAAGGCAAGCAGGTCAATTTCCTCCTAACAACAGAAAAAACAAAAATCCAAATAAGGGCCAAGGATCCTGTCAGCACCCTAGTATTTCTAAGGGATGTGGACAGAAGAGGAAAATTCACTCTGTGACAGAGCACCCCACCCCTGCAGCTTGTACCATTATCTTGACTTTGCTCTGCATCCTCACTCATGCCTCCCCCCACCCCTTTCTCAAAGTCTCACATTCTTGTATGACACAAACAGGTAAATGTGTTCGTCACAATAACTTTTTGGCTGGAGTTTCACATTCACCCAAAGGTGTCTCAAAAGAAGTACTTCTTTCTTTCAAAAGAAAGAGAGATGTACTTCAGAAAGATCAGCCATAATAACTATGGAGTACGGTTCTGCATTGATACACATGGGCCACCAGGACCAGCAATCAACTTGACGGAAACAGATTGGCTTTTTCTCTCAAGGCACGAGCTAGTTCAATAACTTTATAACACATCCCTTCGTCTTCCTCCCAGTTGGGTCATGTTAGGTTCTATATCAAACTCCATGAACTTAGTATGAAAACCCCTGGATTGATTGATTTTCTAGGGCAAAACTTGACTTTGACCCTTGTCTTGTTCAACTGCAGAAGCCCAGGGCAACCTGCCATGGATCACCTGTTTTGCAGCATGAGGTCACAGGATCTATACTTCTATGATCTTTCCCCTAGGTTATCACAACCTCATGCTAATCTAGTCATGTGTTTGAAATCTCGCAAGTTCACAAGCCACCTCATGGTGCTGAAGCTGAATTCTCAGCATCCCTGGATGCTACTGAAAATATTTGGGCTTCTATCCCTAAGTTTCATGTTGAGACTGTGGTATTTAACTATGAGGTGATAATGGCACAGGTAGGTTTCTGGTTCCTAAATGTATGGGGGCAAGTTTATCTTCCTAGATGTAGCCAAATGAGAAAGTATTTGTTGGCACCTGTCAGTAGGCAATGGTGAGACACTGAAGATACAGTGCTCAATAAATGGAATCATTTTGCTTTTCTTTTTATTGTGATTTGAATCCAAGTTTACAAAGTAAATTGGTTTCCGTTCAACTGTTCATACACATTTTGTTTTATGATATTAATTACAGTGCCCACAATATAACCACACTCCTTAAACTTCCTCCTGGTAGTTCTTTTTTCTATTAATCCCTCTGTCCTATCTCTTCTTGCCTTCTGAGATTTCTTCCTTGACAGATGTTGCCTTTTTTTACCTTGTCTGATTAATTAATCTACAGAGTAATTCCTCAGTGTTAGTGTTCACCTTTTAAAATTCTTGTTATTAGATACCATAGAATACTATTCATAGCGACCCTGTAAACAATAGATTTGAAAGCTGTCCTATCCTGTGCCAATCACACGATCTCTGACACATTCTAGCTCATTGCTCATTGCTGAAACTATTGTGTCAATCCACCTAGTTGAGGGTCATCCTCTCCTTTCCTGTCCCTCCACCTTTCCAAGCAGAATGTCCTTCTCCAAGGGAGGAATATATTCTCCAAGGAATAGACCCTCCTAGTAACATGCCCTGCCTCCTGGTCGAAGTATAAGTTTCGCCAGGAGGCAGTTGTCAGAACAGAGCAAGGGAACACTGCATGGTTCAAAATTGGGAAAGGCGTACGCCAGGGATGCATCCTATCTCCATACCTCTTCAACCTATATGCAGAACAGATTATCCGGGAGGCTGGGCTCTATGAGGAGAAATGTGGGGTCAGGATTGGTGGACGATTTATCAACAATCTGCGTTATGCGGATGACACAACCCTGCTTGCTGAAACTGAGGAGGACCTGAAGCGCCTGCTGCAGAGTGTCAAGGACTGCAGTCTGCAATATGGATTGAGGCTCAATGTCAAGAAGACAAAGATTCTCACCACTGGACCAATCGGCAGCATCAGGATGGATGGTGAAGAGATTGAGATTGTACACAGCTTTAGTCTGCTTGGCTCCATAGTCAACAGTCTTGGCACCAGCAGCCAGGAAATTAAAAGGCGCATTGCCATGGGACAGTCTGCTGTTTAGGGACCTCTCCAAAGTGCTGAAGAGCAGTGGTGTCTCTCTGGAGACTAAGGTGCGTCTGATACAGGCCATAGTCTTCGCAATCACCTGTTATGCATCAGAGAGTTGGACAATGACGAAGGAGGATAGAAGGAGAACTGATGCCTTTGAGCTGTGGTGCTGGAGAAGAATACTGAGAATGCCATGGACTGCTAGGAAAACAAATAGATTTGTCCTGGAGAGGGTTAAACCGGGTGGCTCCTTGGAGGCAAGGATTCTGAGGCTCCATCTAACTTACTTCGGACATGTAGTGAGGAGAGACCGGTCCTTGGAGAGGGACATCATGCTTGGGAGGGTAGAGGGACGGCACAGGAGAGGAAGGCCCTCTATGAGGTGGATTGATTCAGTGACTGAGATAATTGGGATGGGAGTGTCAGAGACAGTGCGATTGGCACAGGACAGAGCGGAGTTTAGGGCTGTTGTACATAGGGTCGCTATGAGTCGTAGGCGACTCGATGGCACATAACAACAACAACAACAACAACAACAACAACAAGTAACATGCCCAAAGTATGAGAGACGAAGCCTTACCATCCTTGATTCCAAGGAGAAATCTGGCTTCACTCTAAGATATATCTGTTTATTCTCTTGGCAGCCCTTGAGATATTCAGTACTCTCCTTCAACACCACAACTCCAAAGCATCAAATTTTCTTCTGTCATCCTTATTCATTTCCCAGCTTTCAGATGTGTAGCAGATTCAGACTATAGTCTGGATCAGGCACACCTTAGTCCTCAAGCTAACATCATTGCTCCTCAGTAATTTGGAAAGGTCCCTGACTACAGTGCAATATGTCTCCTGATCTTCTCATCATGATAGCTGGATAAAAGATTTAAACTGTCAGTAACTTCATCTTACTTAGATCTACGATAAATATACTTGGTACCAGCAGTCAGGAGATCAGGAGTGTTTACCTTAAAACATCTTCCCTCACTTTTATTCTGGGTAGGGAGAGACAAATATTACACCAAAATGGATGCTAGAAAGCTTGTAAGACTCCACTTGCTACTCACTAATGTAGGATGTACAGAGCCTTTGTGATCCAGATTATGTCTGTTGCCTTTGATCCCAAGGCCCTAGGAATAGCATAAAATGATCCACCTGGAGGAGCATCAATATTATTATTATTTCAGAGAATGCAAAATTTGGGAGTAAATGTAGGGGAAATGTGTACAATGTCCTAATTTGGCAGAGAAGAAAACAAGACGAGGCTGATTTGCCCAAAGTCACACAGTTTATGCCTGACATCACTCCACAATTCTGGTCTCCAGATTCCTAGATCAATTCATTCTCTACTACACAATACACTCTATCCAATTACTGTCTGTCTATAGGATCCCTAGTGGTGCAGTGCTTAAAGTATTGGGTTGCAAAAGGAAAGGTTGACTCTACTAGCTACTTCAGGGGGGAAAATGGGCAATGTCCTCTGGTAAAGATTTACAGCTTCAGAAATTTAATGGAGGTTTGCTGTGAATCAGAACTGACTCAACCACAACTGGTTGACGATACTCCATGTTCAGCGTAGATTTGTGTTAACTGTTTTGTGTAAACAAAGATGATGTTTATCAATATGAATCATGAGCATTTCATGGTTTCATTTACTTTTGGTTTCTACATTGTTTAGCAAATAGTTACAAACACTACTTGGTCTGGCTTTTGTCTCAACCACTCCACAGAAACGGCTCTTTGCTACTACCTATCTGTTGCTACACTCAAAGGGCACTTACCAGACCTCATTTTACTTAACACCTCCACAGCAGCATTTCACACTGCTGACCTTATCTCCTTCCCAGAATGCTCCAGCTCAGTGCTACTCATAAACCATGGTTTGTAGATTGGTACCAGTAAATAAACTGTTACTGGCTTGCAACGGGTCAGTACAGAAAGAGAGAACAATAGAAACTTTCATCATACATTCATTCACAGAGTAATTTTTGTCTCCTAAATCTATTAAATTTTTTTAAAGAAAGAATTTGTGGGGGTTTTTTCTCCCTTCTCCTGTGAGGAACTCCTCTGAATCCATTGCATCTCACCAGAGAGAGGGCCCCCTACAAGAGCATCCTCCTCTGCAATACACTGTCCTTCCCACCCACCACCACACACCCCGCCACCACACCACACCACCATGCCACAACCCGTGTCAGACTGTATTTCATCTGCAACACATCCTTGTTTTCCCAACACCAAACACAGTGCCAGACACGTGTGGGAAGCCAAATCAACCTTCAATGAGTATTGTCTGCTGATGCTTTGGGACCACTCTCTGGAACATCTCATTCCCTAAGTTTAAGGCACTTTCAGTCCATATGTTTTCTCTTTTCCTTTGCCCTCTCTTGCACGTGGCATCCTGATTGGCCAAATTTAAGTGAATTAAAAAATTATATGCTGAGTGAAAT